GGGCTGGGATTGTGGCTCCGAGGTGGAGCATTCGCCTAGCACGTGCTGAGCCCTGGGTTCAATCCTCAGCACCACATAAAAATAAATAAATAGGGATATTGTGTCCAACTGCAACTAAGAAATAAATGGGGGAAAAAAAGGAGGGTGGAGAGCTCAACATTTAAAAAAAATAAAAATTAATAAAAATAAAAATTGATTTCTGATAATAAGTGTCACAAAAAACATGTGTTCCAGAATTCTAAAATCGTGTGAGAGTATCTCATATGTAAGACACTTAGGACCATTTACACCACACCAAGAAAAATGGAGCTTCTGAAAAGTCAATAAATGTGGAACCAGTCTTGTCCAAAAGTAAAGTAGAAAGCATACATAATCACTGTCACCCAAATTCACTTAGGCTGGGGGAGTAGGTCAGTGTCAGGGCTCACACTTAGTATGCTTAAGACCCTGGATTCAACCCCCAGCACTAATAAATAAATAAATATTGAATTCACTAAACCTCTCGCTCCTCGGTCTGGGGTGGTAGAGATTAGAAAAGGCCTGTTTACCCAAATATCATTCCATGACAGGAGGCAGTTTTGTTTGATTTCACTTATATCTGTCCAAACTCTAGGTCACATTTCCCCATGCCCTGTGGAACTCATAATGTAGCCTGTTCATCCCTTCCCAACCAGAAGAGAAAAGAATTCTAAGGGAATGGGATAGAGGAAAAGTAAATTTTGATCAAAGAAAACTTTCTGGAAAAAAGTTTCTGAATTTCCCTAGGAACAGACCTCATAGGATTATCTCATAATGAATAAATGAGTGAGTGAATGAATGAATCTAAGGGTTTCTCCTGCTTTCTAAATGTATGGCTCATAAGAATTGATTTTTTAAAAGTTAAAGATAGATAGATAGATTTTAAGCTAAGTGTTTTTTCCCTTCTCCATTTTCACATGATACTCAATACAACACTGGTGGCACCAGAGGTAGAGGGGATATTTTCGCACCCCCTACACACGCACACACACACACCAAGCCATTGCATTGAACACAATGCTAGTGTCCTCTGATTAGATTCATAACACCATCCATTTGGAGATTGAGTCAGGGCCCAGAAATTGAAAGCTTAGTCCCACAAGACTTCAGTTACTCATTTCAGATGCCAATCACAAGCCCCAAGTTGGGGGCTTGAGCTTCTGAAAGACATGCTATAAACTGTGGTTCCCATGATGCCCTCCTCAGGATCAATTTAATAAGAGAGACAGAACTCTTTGCAGGGGGCCGGGGTCGGGGGGGATGCTGGGGATTTGAACCCAGGGACTTCTGCATGTGAGGCAAGCAATCTACCCACTGAGCTATATCCCCAGCCCATTTACTGGCTCATTACAAAACCCATTACAAAAGATACAAAGTAATGGCCATATGGAAGAGATGCTTAGAGCACATTATTGGAGAAGGGGCAAGGAGCTTCCATGCCACCCTCTAGGAACCTCCACATGTTCAGCTATCTGAAACCTTCCAGAAACTAGTTCCTTTGGGTTTTTATGAAAGTTTCAGTTCATAGACATGACTGATTACATTACTGTCTATGATCAACTTCATCTTCAGCCCCTCTTCTCGGGGGTGAGACTAAAAGTCCTAACTCTCCAATCATTCCTCAGTCTTTCTGGTAACCCATCCCACCCTGAAGCACCTAGAGGACCCGAGACACTAGTCCTCATATTATCATACAAGAGATCTTTATCACTCAGGAAATTCCAAGGCTTTTAGGAGAACACAGGATGAAGACTCAATATATATTTCACAATATCACACATCACAAAATTAAATTTTTCCATTTGGGGTATTAACACTGCCACATGATAGTAATATTCACTTTCTAGGTAATAAAATATATATATATAATCTATAATCAGAAAATATAACTGTCTGTAAAGAAATGAATTTGCGTAACCACCAAAAATCAAAGAACATAATCATTTAATTCCGAGTTGTCTATAAATTCCCCATCTGCTCTGGATTATCTTGGTTTATGCCTTTCATCCTGATACGTTTATTAAGTGTGCCCACTCCTCCAAAAAAATGGAGATTTGGACAATTGGTTGTTCACTACTCTAGCTGGAGATTTGAAAGAATTCCTGAACATTCTTTCTTTCTTTTGGTACTAGGGATTGAACTCAGGGGCACTCAACCACTCAACAAGTCACATCCCCAGCCCTATTTTGTATTTTATGTAGAGACAGAGTCTCTGAGTTGCTTAGCACCTGCCATTGCTGAAGCTGGCTTTGAACCCGCAATCCTCCTGTCTCAGCTTCCCCAGCCAGGGGGATTACCTGCATGCACCATTATGCCTGGCTCCTGAACATTCTTTGACAATGAAACTAATGTTTTCAATGACAACATATGTTCAGAAGTACTTGACACGATCTGCTTTTAAACTCTCCAATTTGGAAAGAGTTAATAAACATTTTAACTTTCACAGCTGTTAAGTAATTAGGACCCATCACTACTGAGTACTTATGAAGCGGCTTCAGACATAAATGTGGAGCTTGGCCTGGCAACCTATATTTGGGAACTTCCCTCTCCACTTCTACCCCCAATCTGGGGATCCAGGAGAGAGGCACAGAGGCACAATGATTCAGCATTTCTAAGGCATTTCTAAGCATTTCATTAAAATGTGCTTCAGTGCAATGGAATTAGGGGAGGAAAAAGTGACCCATAGCACACAGATATTAAAATTGAAACTTTTTTTTATAAAAGCAAAAAATAATAACATTCCATACTTTCTCAATGAAACATTTGTAAAGCAGCCAAACTAACAAGTGTGTCTCCCAGCACTGTTATCAGGCAAGTCATCCTAAAATTGTAGCAGGAAACATATGAACCCTTTTTGTCAACTTGTTCAAGAGATGCTTAAAAACAGAAGCAGAAGGGAAACCACAGAACACAATGGTCAACTTCAAGGCAGCCCCCACATCAGAAAAATCCTGTTCGTACCTGGACGGGAACCCTTTTTAGAATGCTGTTTATGTCACTTGTGTAACTCCTGAAGGGACAGAGCATGTCTTTTCCAACCTCCCACCCTCAGTTCTTATCTGTGAATCCTTCACATACAGCTTGCATACCAACAATGTGCAACAAAATCCACTGAATTAAACAACAAGAAGAAAAGAAAAATGCTTTCATATATGATTTCTATATAAACATTCTTTCCAAAGTAGAAAAGAAACCCACCACCAGGGTGGGAGTGGAGAGGTTGAATCATTCCAACAGCAAGTGAGTGCTCCCTAGTTGAGATTCTATTCCTCTACCCAAGTGGTGGGTAAAGGTTGAACAACCTTATTATCATAGAAAGTCAGATATATTAGTCAAATCACATTCCACAAACAAAACAACTACGCAAACTTAGGCTATAAGACAAGCATTAGTCATAGCCCCCAATACCTCAGTTATAAAGTTCTTCTGAAATTTCTTTCACATTTCAGCTGCATAGGGCTTGAGAAACTTTAAAATAGGCTTTAATGCAGGTTTTTTTCTCCTCCAGCAGCCTATGCAAGGGCACTGAGAACTAGCCACTTAACCACTGAAGGTCTCATTCATAAGGAAAGTTATGGACCTCCATTCATTCTATCAAGGGGACCCTGATGCCTCTTCCTAAAGGCAACACCCACAACTCATTTCAATAAGGCAAATGGGTAGATATGATGTGTTAGTCCTTTAAGTAACAGAGAAGCTTCTGGTGGGAAAGACCTGGCAGAGAACAGAGACCCATTATCTTAGTAAAGGTGGGCAGCAGCCACTTTATAATAATGTGAAACAAAGTTAACTTCACCAATATTCAATATGGAGGAAGCATCTCTGAGACCTGCCTTCTTTTAAAAAATAATAAAAATTAAATATTCAGGCCTCTTGAAGTTTATAGTAGCTGATTCACAGCCTTTGGAGAGTCACCCAAAGTCTTACATTTTTATCTCTCCATCTATAAAATGGGGATAAATACTGTTACCACTTATCTATATTTTAGAAAACTAAGTAAAAACAAGAATATAAACCAAAGATGGTTTTCTTAAATTCTTGAAGCTTAGACAGTTCCTGTGCTTGTCAATGAGCAGATATAGGTCAAAATGAAATATTTAACACGTGGACTCTATTTTCTGCTCCTAATAAAGAACAGAGGCACTGATAATCCACTGTGTAAACTTGCCTGGATCCAAAATATTATTAATTTAAATAAATAATTGGAAGAGTTTAAGTAGATCCCTTAAACTCTTTGACATTAAGCATCTTTTGTCTTCCACTGAATATCCTTTTTAAAATCAGTGCCACTTTCTGAACTAAACTGAAAGTAAAACAACTCCTCCCAATCAATGCAGATGAAGTTTTGAAGCACTATGTTAACCAAAACTGGTGTTCATATTATGTAAATAATTTTTTCTAATCTTCATAATCTTTTAAAATGTCAAACTGTTGACCTACTAATAATAGAATTGCAATATTTTCTTCCTAATGATCAACTGAAGGAAGAGTAAACTTAAACACTCCAGTTCTAAATGGAAAGATTGATGAGGAAACTGCTGCCGAACAGCCCCTTACAACAATCTTGTGTGTGCAGATTGAATGGAGTTTTTACATCCTGGGAGGTAGAATCCTGCACCCTTACATAAAGGCTCACAGAATCAAGGCGGGACATAAACACAGTCACGTTATTGCTCAGTGCCCAATGCACCTGAAAGACACATGGACCATGTTTCAACTGCTAAGCTTATAAAGGTATCCAAAACTGCCAATTCCAGTTTAGTCAGAGAAAAGAAACAAACAGTAACCCTATCCCAAGTAGATAGTAATCCAGTAGATCCCAAGTTAATTTCCTCCAGTTTCTCCCCTATAATAATATTAATTTATTTCTTAATAAGAAATGCTGCAGTAACATTTGTGAAATCAGATTTTGGCAGAAAATCAAAGTAAAGGAAAACTCTTCAATGGCAGGTACTTTGCCTCCTGCCCAGCCTCCTGCCTACCTTATTATGTTTTTGCTGGTGTCTTGCCTTTGTGTCAAGAACATGATAAGGGCTTTCTGAGTCTTGGTTGATATAATATATGAGTCTTGAAGGCAGTGTGATTTCTTTCTGCATTACATTGCTGTAACTGATGTTACTGCTGCTATTCTGTTGCAATGTATTATCTTCATCTGCCAGGACTCCCAATTTTTTTTCTGCAGTTTCATTCCAGTGCGGAGCTGGGGGGACAGGAAGCACAAACATACACAAACACACATATATACACCCCATAAATACATATGTACTAAAATGCATTTTTTCATTAATTACATTAACAAAGTTTTCTATTTATAAGCAGGTAAGAAGAGGAGTCAGAGAAAAGCAAGTTATGGCAACAATGAAGTGGCCTGAATAAGTTAACAGCCAATAAGGCTTATACAATCATGCACTAGAATCAAGTATACATTTTTTAGCCAGTCTCAAATTTATACATCTAGATATTGGGGGGAGGGGCAGAATGTACTTAGGGAAAAGTCATTAAAAGTACTTGTTCAGGGGTCTTGACCCTCATCTCCACCCCTTCTCTGAGTCTACAGAAGTTCAACTGTACTCTGCTCCATAGTATCCCATCTGAGAACTAAGAACACTCCAAGGATAACTTGAATGCTGACTTCATGGACATGGAATTTTAATTGATTCTTTTAACAAAATGGAAATTTTCCCATTCTTTTAACTTTGAGATGAGCAAAAACCCTTTGCCACAGAGGGATATGGATATTGCGGCCTTCGATTTCTTTTTTTATTTTCCTGCCTAGGCCAACTTTCTGCTTTCAGTGATTTCCAATCATGAATGTATTGGACATTGTGTTGTTTTTAATTGTTCATGACATGCATTTTGAGAAATCACAACCAAAGGTCGAGCACAAAGTATGTCTTCTGCACTTTCATTCTTTGGTCCCTGAAGTATGCCTCCCTCATCTTAATCTCAACTGCAGTGAATAAGCCCAGTGGGAAATTTGAGGAAACAACCCATTGCCACTATTATCATTGCATGCTCCCCGCATTCATATTAAGGCTCCAGCACACAAGAAGCAACTTGCTTCCTTGCTGCATTTCCCAATCACTGGTTTCCCCTTCGCAAGTTGCATGAGATCGCTGAAGGACCCAGGATCCACTAAATACCTCCCAGTGATACCACAGTAATTGGGATGGGTTTTTTGTGAATGCAACATAAATGGACTTCCAAAAGTGAACTAGAATGAACCAAGGGGTTAGGAATGAGAAGGGTGGAGAGGTAGACAGGGAGGCACGGAAAGGCCAAGCCTGGGACATGTCCAGGGCGCACGGACCCGCGTGCCCTTCGCTTTCCCCTACAGGGCCCCGCGGGGAAAGCAAGGCAAAGGGCACTGGGCCATACCCACCGCTGGGCGCAGGGGCCCCCCAGGCACGGGGCCGGGACGAGGAGGCGAGCTCAGGCAGCAGGAGAAGGACGAGGAGCAGGAGACAGGGCGGCGCGCGGGCCGGGGCGCGG